AGGAAAATGGCAACAAAATAGAGAGAACTGGAACTCCCTGAAAGACCATGCTGAGGGGCCACCTATGGGCCAACACTCTGTTTGTGCATCATTCCAGTTCCAGGAGGAGAAGCCCCGGAACAAGTCCCAATACACCATGTCCACAAGTGCACCCCAGCAGTACAAAGCAAAGACAAACATCTGCACCCTCACCATGTACCATCCGCCGGCCCTCCCCTAGGCTCCTTCCCCTCTTGGCCCCCCCAGCCCCCACCTGCAATCATACTCAGCAGAGCAAATAAAAGGATTCTCAGACGTCTCCAACCTTTCATTTATTTTCCCATCATATGGCCACAACATCTCCACATTGTCATTCTGTCCCCCAAAATCCCCCATCCAAATGTGAAGCTTAGCTGAGATTGGGGAGAAAAGCTGAAATTTCAAGGGCAATAATTCATTGGGCTGTTTTTGCAGTCAGAAAAAGCTCCCAAACGTCAGTGCAACACCATGTGTGAAGGAGGGTTCACTCCCAAAGCCCTCTGGCCCTCACTGCTGGTTGTCTCTACAGAGTGAGACAGGCAGAAAGAAGGAAGGAGGAGGGAGGCCTTAGAGAACAGGGTGAGGGTCCTCACGATGCCTTCCTGGGCTTGGGCCAGTAGAGTCCAGGGAAGATCCCACGGGCCATGCTGGGGAGAGAAGCCAGGGGTCCACAGGAACAACACAGGGACTGCAGACTGGTTTTCTTCCTCAGGCCCACACCAGGCAATTCCTCAAGCTGAAGAAGGAAAGACAGATTCAGGGAGACCCTCCAAGTCCCCTCTGCCTCCAGCCTCTCATCATTCTGAAGGGCCTGCCTCACCACCCATCCAACCCTCAATCCAACTTCTCACATACCTTCCTCTGTGCTTGCCCCCTTTACCCCAGCCCCTCTCACCTTCCAGGCCCCCAGAGTCTCACCTTTGGCCGGGAGAGAGACATCTGATCCCTGTGCACTGTCACTGCCTGGAGACAAAGGAGGGAAACGACCCAGTCAGGGACATACATTCCAGAACTGATGTATGGGAAGGGAAGGGGACACCAAGGCAAGGCTACTGGACTAAGCCTCTCGTCTGCCTTCCCACTGCTCAGATTCCAGAGATATCATGGTCTGGGCCAATCTTTCTTCCCTCCATGTCCACTCTTCACTTACCTGAAGCAGGAACATAGTCCCCTCCTTTTCCACCTGGAAAAGAAAAAAATTTCCAGTGAGGAATCCAGGAGAGGAGACCACACTGTCTCAGGAGTCACTGGTCTGCCTTGGAGACACAACAAATTACAACTGGGACTGCACCCCCACCCCCCACTCCAGTCCAGCCTCTGGATCCAAGAGGAAGAGAGAAGAGGCCCCCCAAACGGGCACTTCCCCACCTCCAAGGGTTCCCAAGGCTGGTCTACAGCCCCCCAACTGGGGGACACCCAGGCCCTCTGGCAGAGATCCCCATATTCACTGCTGATCTGAGTCTGAAGCAGATTCCCCACTAGGCCAGCCTGTTACACGCCTGTCTGTCTGGCATCCTCCAGAAAAATAGTTTCTATTTGTTCATCCGGAGTCTTAGGGCCCATCTGAGAGTCCCTTAGATGGGAAAGAGAGAACTTGGGGACAGAAATGGCACCTGCTCCCTAAGGGCCCCCTCCCAGTGCTGCCCACCTGAATTCTTCCTCTGCCAGATCACAACTCCAGCAATAACTGCAATGAGGAGGAGGAGAACAGCAATGACCCCCACGATGACTAGGGTGGAGAAGGACTCTGGCTCTGAAATAGAAAAGAGCAGTGGGAAGCCCCAATCCCTCTGGGGCCTGAGATTCACTAACCCCTCCCCCACCTCCCCTGTCACCCCACCTCCCTCTGGTCTTTTGGGGGTCTGGGGGATGGCCTTCCCCAGTCCCTCCTTACGGTCCTTACCCCACTTCAGGGTGAGGGGCTCAGGCAGTCCCTCGTGCTGAACTTGGCAGGTATATTTCTCTTCCTGGCCCGAGGTCACATCCACACCTGCCCACTTCTGGAAGGTACCGTCTCCTGCCGGCCTGGTCTCAATGAACTCCATGTCCTGGAGCTGCTCCTCCTCATCCCTCAGCCAGGTCAGGGAAATGTCAGCGGGGTAGAAGTCCTGGGCCCGGCACCGCAGGGTCACCTCCCCGTGGGGGGCAGTGTGGCGGGTCACTCGGGCGGAGGGCGGGTCTGGAGGCAAAGGTCAGCAGCATTTCTAGGTTTTCCCCCCCTCCCCTCCAGGGGCACCCCACAATCCGGGCCCTGGGGGTACAAGGGGTGCCTGGGGGCCGGGAGTCGGGGCTGGGGCTGCAGGGAAGGGGGAGAAGGGGAGTGGTGGCCTTGAGTGCCGCGCACACTGAGGGGGGTGGGGGTACCTGCCCGCTGCAGCGTCTCCTTCCCCATCTCCAGGTACTTCTTCAGCCACAGCACGCACTCCTTCTCCAGGTAGGCTTTATATGCCTCCGCGATTCTCCTCTCCGCCTCCATCTTGCGCTTGGAGCTCACAGCCTGCGGCACCGCCGCCATCCACGTGTAGGTCTCCGTGTCCAGGGCGATGTAGTCGCGCCCGTCGTAGGCGTATTGTAGAAACCCGCGCTGAAAGGTGAGCTCGGGAGAGACCTCACAGCTGAACATGGCCTGGAGGGTGTGGACCCCTGTGAGTCAGAGGACGGGCTCAGGCTGCTCCCGCGCCCCGCCCCCACGCGGGTCCTCCATTCCCGGGAGCCCCCGCCCCCCCCACGGGCACGCACCGGCCGCGCTCTGGTTGAAGTAGCCGCCGAGGTGCTTCAGGTTCACTCGGTACACCTGCGCGTTGGCCTCACTGCGCCGCGTGTTCCGCTCCCAGCAGCCCGGCTCCTCCCGGTCCATCCGCTCCATCCACGCCGCCCGCGGCTCCATCCTCGGACTCGCGCGGGCGCTGTCGAAGCTCACGAACTGCTGATCATCCATGTAGCCCACCTCGATGAACCGCGGCTCCGCGAGCCCCGGCGAGGCCATGGCGGCTTCGAAATACCTCATGGAGTGAGAGCCTGGACGTGGGGACCCGGGCCGGGGTCAGGGGTCAGGGCGGTGACCGCGTAGACACGCCCTGTCCGCCGCCAAGGCGGGGCGCGACCCCGGACCCCACGCTGACCAGGGGCGCGACCCCTGACCTCAACACACCCGGGGTGTGACCTCCGACCCCGTGTTTACCCTGGCGTGACCTTTGACCCCGTCGCGCCCAGGACGTGACCCCGGACTCCTAACCCCCGGTATCCGGCCCCTCCGCCCCCAACACTGACGGCGCACCGCGCCGAGAGGTGATGATTCTGGAGACTACAGCGCTTTGAGATCAGCAAAACGCCTTCCCTGACAACCCAGGCAGGTCCTAGTGCCCCTCCATCCCGGCCTTGCCCCCCCCCTCCCCGCCCCCACCTCTGGTCCGGCTCCCGGGTCTCCCGCACTCCTCACCCCCCCGCCCCCCACGATCCTCCGTGAAGCTCTTTAACGAAGCTGCTCCTGGTTCTCTGTCCTTGGCCTTGGATGTGGGGGGGGAGGCTCCCGGACGGTTCTGCTCCTTCTTAACCCCCCCAGGACTGTCGCACCCATTCTCCCTCCCGGCAGACCTGCCTCAGCGCCCCTCGTCCTCACCCGCACTCACCAATCCCCTCACCCCCCCAAACTAAGGGACCGACACCAAGACACCCCCCTCCCCCTCCTGCCAAAGCCCAGCTAAGGGACGGCAGGCTGCAGGTCCCCGAGTCTGTCTCTGTCTGTCTGTCTGTCTGTCTGTCTGTCTCTCTCTCTCTCTCTCTCTCTGTCTCTCTCTCTCTCTCTCTCTCTCTCTGTCTCTCTCTCTCTCTCTCACTTCTTCCTTTCAGCACCACCCTGACTTCACCTGACATTACGGAGCCGCTTCCCGGAAAGCCCACCCTGGGCTGGTGCCGGAGGCGCTTCCTGTAGGAAACCCCCATCCCACCCACACGTCCACCCCGCAATGCTGTGTCCACCCTCCAGGCGGCCGCTTAGGTCTGTTCTCTACTTGCCTGCCCAGGTCTCCGGCAGGACCAGGGTCCCCAACAAAAACAGAGAGCGCAGACACGGCTCCATGGCCCAGGCAGAGAAGCCCAGGATCACCGAGACGGGTCTGCGCGGGGTTGCTAGAGGGGCGAATCCCTGACTTGTGATTGGCTCCACGGAGCCTCTGCCGGCCAATAGCAAACGAAAGACTACAAACGTCATTGGTGACTGGGCAGAATGAGCCGGCACAGGTTGGGAGACCCAAACTGAAATCCCCAGCTTTACAGACCTTCGCCCTTTCTGTGTCCTTCCCAGAAGAGCCTCTGAATCTCTGGAGCGCCCGAGTCTCCCTCCCTCCCATCACCACTCCAGGAACACGAGGCTCTTGTGCTCCCAGCTTGAACCAGAGAAAGAAACAGTCCCAGCCCTTAACCCTCCTCTGCTGGCCTTCCAACCCCAGCCCCCCTCCTCAGTGTGACCCTTTCCCCTCCTTAGAAGTGAGGAAGACAGTGTCCTCACCCAAAATTGAGGCTGTCTGAGGAGTGAAGAAATCTGCAGACTGATTGGGGAGGGGTGTGTTGCCGCCTCCGTTTTACTCACCTCCATCCCAGCTGTGACTCAGACAAGTTTTGTAACCTTCCCAGGTTGTGTAGATAAGCAAGGGATCCAAGAATAAGGACTGATTTAGAGTCCAATAAATAGAATTTGGAATCAGAGTAGAAGACTTTCTCTTACCTTAAAAGGGGCAGCTAGGTCCCCAGTGGTTAGAGCTCAGGGCCCGGAGTCAGGAAGACCTTAGTTCCTATCCAGTCCTCAAACATTTACTAGCTGTGCGACCCTGTGCAAGTCTTTGCCTCATTTTCCTCATCTGAAAAATGAACTGGAGAAAGAATTGGCAAAGCACTTCAGTTTCTTTGATAAGAAATGAGGTCACAAAGAGTCAGACACAACTCAATAACAATAAAAGGAAAGAGCTTAATAAAATAGGAAGGAGTACTATTTCAGCCCAAGGTTGGTTCTGAACTGCCTGAAATATGAAGGTGTGAATCCCCAGTGACCTTTTTTTCAGAAACAAAGAACCTGGGCACATTTGGTGGGATTTTCCCTCTTTCTTGTCTCATCACCCCATCTAGGAAACTATTACACTCCAAATTTTAAAGAGAGGGTTACCCCTGGAAAGGATCGTAGAGATAATCTCCTTCATTTTACAGAGCAGGAAACTGAAGGCCAACGATGTTCAGAGGTTTTTCCAAGCTCATAAAGATAAGAAGTAACAAAATTGAGATTTGCACCTCCGTTCTATCATTGCAAACTCAATCCTCTTTCCCCAACCCCAGGCTGGTCTAGAGACAGTCCTGAATTGGCCTGCTCTGGGGAAGACCACCTGAACCCTTCAAAGCATGTTGGAGTCAGCACTGTGTGGAAAGGCAGGGAAAGAGCTGAATAATTCTGGTCTTTATCATTTTCTGCCACCAGACCCTTCAGACCAAGTCCTCTCCCATCTTTCTTCTTTTGATCCCAATGGAGCTTAAAAAATTTCTCCTAAAACCCCTCAACCCTTGTCATTTTCCACTTGCTTCCCTTCTCCACGGCACGGCTCTCTGGTGCACCAGTTTTTATATGGAAAATGTAGACAAGTCCTGAGATTTTTTCCATCCTTTCAGCGACATCTCCCCTGTGAAAGACTACGATGCAGCCTCCTCAGCTCTTCTCTCTCTGTCCTCTCTCAGAATATTCAGTGTTCTCTCCCATCCCTGCACCCCAGACTCCTTTAAGCAGTAGTTCTGCAAGATCTTGCCTTGCCCAGGCCCCATCTGGAGGATTATGTTCATTCTGGGGCACCGCATTTTAGAAAAGGTATGGACAGTGTATCCAGAGGAATGTGTTCAGAAGACAAGGACCAGAATGGGGAGAGGATCAGAGAACTTGCTATGGAGGATTGGGTAAAGGACTTAGGGATGTTTCCCTAGGAGAAGAGAAGATACTGAGGGGAGAAGATAGTTGTCTTCGAGTATTTGAAGGATTGTTTAGGTGAATCCAAGAGGGCACAAGTAGGACCTGAGTGAATATTGCAGACAGGCCGATTTCACCTAGGAATCAGGTCTGCTGGAAGTGCAATGGCACTTCCCTGGAAGTCCTAGCTTCCCCTTCCTTGGAGGTCCTCAGGCAGAGACTCATTAACCACGTGGTTAAGATATAGAAGGTATTGGGTTTTTTTATTATTTATTTATTTAGTTATTTTTAGTTTTCAGCATTCACTTCCACAAGATTTTGAGTTTCAAGTTTTCTACCCATCTCGTCCCTCCCCCCACCTCAAGATGGCATGCATTCTGAATACCCCTTCTAATCTGCCCTCCCTTCCATCTCTGTCCCACTTCTCTTATCCCATTCCCCTTCAGTTTTCCTGTAGGGTAGGATAGATTTCTATACCCCATTTCCTGTATATCTTATTTCCCAGTTGCATGTGAAAACAATTTTTTTTTAACTTTGGTTTTTAAAACTTTTGGTTCCAAATTTTCTCCCTTCCTCCCTCCCCACCCACCCTTATTGAGAAAGCAAGCAACTTGATACAAGTTATACATGTGTAGTCATACAAAACACTTCCATAGTAGTCATGTTGTGAAAAATAAGTATGTTTGCCTTAATCCTATCCCACTCCCCATTTATTCTATTCTCTCTTTTGATCCTGTCCCTCTTAGAAGTGTTCGCTTCTGATTACCCCCTCCCCCACTCTGCCCTCCCCTCTATCATCCTCCTGCTCTCTTGTTCCCTTTCCACTCTATTTTCCTGTAGAGTAAGATAGATTTACATACCGAATTGAGTGTGTGTATTATTCTCTCCTTAAGCCACATTTGATGACAATATGATTCACTCATTCCCTCTCGCCTTCCCTCATTTCCCCTCCACTGTAAAAGCCTTTTCTTGTCTGTTTTATGTGAAATAATTTACCTCATTCTACTTCTCCCTTTCTTCTCTCTGTATAATCCTCTCTCACCCCTTAATTTTATTCTCCAGATATCACCCTTTCATCTTCAACTTACCCCTCTGCCTTCTCTGTCTCTGTCTCTCTCTCTCTCTCTGTCTCTCTCTCTCTCTCTCTCTCTCTCTATCTCTCTCTCTATATATATATATACACATACATACATACATACATACATATAATTTTTACCCTCCAACTACCCTAGTACTGACAAAGGTCTCATGAGTTACAAATATCATCTTTCCATGCAGGAATGTAAATAGTTCAACCTTAATACATCTCTTACAATTTCTCTTTCCTGTTTACCTCTTCATGTTTCTCTTGAATCTTGTATTTGAAAGTCAAATTTTCTATTCAGCTCTGGTCTTTTCATCAAGAATGCGTGAAAGTCCTCTATTTCACTGAATGTCAACTTTTTCCCCTGAAGGATTATGCTCAGTTTTGCTGGGTAGGTGATTCTTGGTTGTTATCCTATCTCCTTTGCCCTCCAGCATATTATATTCCAAGCCCTGTGGTCTGTTAATGAAGAAGCTGCTAAATCTTGTGTTTCCACAATACTTGATTTGTTTCTTTCTGGCTGCTTGCAATATTTTCTTGACCTGGCAATTCTGGAATTTGGCTACAATATTCCTAGGAGTTTTCTTTTGGGGATCTCTTTCAGGAGGCGATCGGTGGATTCTTTCCATTTCTATTTTGCCCTTTGGTTTTAAAATATCAGGGCGGTTTTCCTTGATAATTTCTTGAAAGATGATGCCTAGGCTCTTCTTTTGATCAATCAGATAGTCCAATAATTTTTAAATTATCTCTCCTGGATCTATTTTCCATGATAGTTGTTTTTTCAATGAGATATTTCATATTGTCTTCTATTTTTCTCATTCTTTTGGTTTTGTTTTACAATGTCTTGATTTCTTATAAAGTCATTAGCTTCCATTTACTTCATTCTAACTTTTAAGGAATTGTTTTCTTCAGTGAGCTCTTGGACTTCCTTTTCCATTTGGCCAATTCTGCTTTTTAAGGCATTCTTCTCCTCATTGGCTTTTTGGACCTCTTTTGCATTTTGGTTAGTCTATTTTTTTAAGGTGTTACTTTCTTCAGTATTTTTTTGGGTTTCCTTTAGCAAGCTGTTGACTCATTTTTCATGATTTTCTTGCATCATTCTCAGTTTTTCCTCTTACTTACTTCTCTTACTTGCTTACTTCTCTTACTTGCTTGTCAAAATCCTTTTTGACCTCTTCTGTGGTCTGGGACCAATTCATATTTTTCTTGGAGGATTTGG